GGTCCTAAAAATTTACTGCATGACCCGTGTGGAGAATAACATACAGACGTTGTTAACCCTCCTCCTGTGTGAGGGTCCGCACCGACACGTTTTAATTTTAAATGCTTAAAAGAACCTCTTAAATTAGTTCATTTGCATCAGGACTGTTTGGCTTTGTCAGGAACCTCTGTTCCAACAAAATAAAAGAAAAAAATTAAATTGAATAAATTATAAAATGCTCTTTTTTTAATGGCACTTGCTTCTCTAATTCATTTAAGTCATATATTTACATATTTACAAATGTCTGCCATTTAGCCTTTCAAAAACTTAGTAATATTAATCTCAGTAATATTCCTCATATTTATCATGAATTTATCAAGCATCAAACTCGGAACCAGAAAAGCGTTTTCACCCCCCACCCCACCCCCACTCGCCGACAGGTGCCTCCGTGTCTTAACTTAATGTCTTAACATAATAATCACCATTTAATCATTCTGCACTGCAGACGCGGTAGTTCTTCTGCTTTAGCGTCTCGGTCTGATTGTATTTCCATGAAGAAATTATACGGAATATCCCTTTAATGTAAAGCACTGTTTAGTTAGGGGTTTAAAATAAAGATACAGCTTTAAAAGGATAAAGATATAACTTTTTTTCTGTCCTAGGACTGAATGTGGTTCAAAATATTTTCATATTTAAGTTTGTTTATCACATTTTGCAGTTCATTATAACTCAGTAGAGATGTGGGGAGGCAAGTGCTCCACATGTGTGGATCCTACTTAAGAATAACATAGTGTGAGTTAGAATATAAACCCAAACTGAGCTTATATACCTGGTACTGAATCACTGTGACCTGAGTGAAAGTCCTGGGTTGTTTGGTTCCTCCATCTGCCCAGAAAAACACCTCAGGCAAACCCGTACAGAACTTAACTCACTCGCTCTCAGCATCTTGTGTTGCTGAAGTTGGGTTTACACTGGAGTTAGATGAAAGCAGCACAGAGCATTAAACTGCTGAAACTTAGAGTCCCCTGTGGGCTTTAAAATCTGCTGGATTTGAAGTTTGAAATGAAAGCAGGCTAGCATGCAGGGCTGAAAATGAGATATTACAAGTGAGTCAATTTTTCTTTATTCAAAATCAAATAACTAAAGCTTTCTAAAGACTGTCATTTAGTAGAAAGACCAATATTTCCTCGTGTAGTTGAAGTATAAACAGAAGTAAACTCGAGTACGGTCGAAGAAGTACTTCAAAGCTCCTCAAGAGTCGACCGAGATTAGCAGAAACTAAATTCAACTCTTCAATCTATCAGGTTTGCTCGTGGCAAAGTCAGAGAAGATGCAGACATCCCTTAAAGTCACGGGGAACAAGACAATATGCAACGATTTCAAGATCGGAGAGGATGAGAGATTATAAATGAATGTGCTGAACAAGAATTTCAGCCTCTCTGAAAACCTAAAAGAAGGTTTTTACACGAGCTTAAACACTGTCTGACCTTACTGATGCTTAAAGTCAGAGACTGTGTGTTTAGACAGATTCTGCTGTTTCATATGGGACAGTATATTTGTGTGATAACTGAAGACTAAAACAGAGCATAAGTGTATATGAACAGAGTGAGTAAAAACCCAATAAGTCCTGAACTGAAAGAGAAAAACAGACACGGCTTCAAACAAGGAAACGAAAGTGTGGATGTGTAAAGACGCCTCAGGAAAACCAAGTGGAGAGAGAGCAGAGTGGATGGACAGTAGAAGCAAAAGAAAACGCTCATTTAGAAAGTTAAAATCAATAAGTGGAGGATGAAAAAGACAGTGTGGTGCTGGAGTTTACAGAGACAGAATCTGAAGAAGACGGGGGAATGAAATGGACGAAAAACCTGAGAATAAAGACGATCATAGTGACTTTAAAAGTGCAACAAGTCCACTTCAGATGAACGCTGTGTTCACGATCCACAGGACAACTATCCAGCATGAGCCTTAAACGCCTAATAACCTCAATTTACCAACAATTAAACACAAACAGAAACCAAACAAATGACATTTAAATGGCCAAAGTAATTACTCTAAGTATTTATTTGCACTTTCAATGAGAGACGATGAATCAGTGTCAACCTAATGCACTGTAGATGGAGAGGAGACCCCCTGCTGATGCAGTCATTTACCAGAGCGGTGAGACATGAAGGGCTGTGTTTCACTGTATGTTTGATTTAGTCAGTGTAATGCTCACGTCAAACAGAAAGAAAAAACATGTTTTAATTGACATTTTTGAGTTTATTTATTTTTTCATTTTTTAATCACATCTGGGAAAGACTGAATATTTGGTTCAGATGTACTCCTTAGTGTTCATACATGCATCTTACAGTCGGGGATTTTATTGATTGAGGTGAGGTGGGTGTCCCTTGGTGTCCAGAAGGAGGAGAGGTCTTCTGTTATACTGACTTTTTACAATCAAGTGTTAAGAGTGAAAATAACTTTAACTCCACTCAGTTTGAACAATATCATCACCTGACCCACTTGCCTGCACTGAGAGGTCCCGACCATTATCTGCTCCATTCATGCTTCTGCTCAGACTGACTTTATCCAGAGATTATAAAAAGTCTTCCTGAGCAGATTCACACATGCAGCCCACCTGCACAGTTAAAGAACATTTCTAGGAGTTAATGAACAAACTTGTGAAATTCAATTTGGTTTTATGCCTAAAAGAGATGTAAGTAAGGAGGTCTGAGCAAATTCATCGACCATTAACCCATCTGTGGAGGTGGGAACTGGTCTGCAGAAGGGACCGACCTTTATTGATTTTTCGGGGCCGATGCCGTTACCGATTAAAAGAGGGAAAAAATCCAATTTCCAATTAATCTGACGATTTTTAAAATTTTTTATGAAGTTATAAAAAAAATACTGTAGATATACTGTAGGCTACTGCTCTTCACGCCGACAGGCTGATCAAACTTGGACCAGAGAGCGTTTTTTAATTCCTGACAAACTACGATAGCATTATAGGAACAGTTGCTAGTCCAGCCCTGTTTGTAATCCGTGAGGTTACATACACCTCCTACTTTGTCCAATTGACGAGTGCCCCTTTCAACCACGTGATGCTGCTCGGAAAGTTCGGTGCTCTTTAAAAATCAGAGTGTAAGCAGAAAGCAGAACCGAAACAAGTAATAAATGCAACAATGTTGCGACTTTCAGCTCCCCAATCAAACCGAGTCTGCTTGGTCAGGTGTGAAAGCGACCTTATTCTCTGCATTTTATTTCTGAAAATATTGGCGAAAATCGGCGAGTTTTGGCCGATTACGGATTAGTCTCAAACAGGCTAAAATTGGCCGATTTAATTGGCTTGCCGATAAATCGGTCGGGCCCTGGTCTGCAGCCTTGGTTAGGTTTTATGTGAATTATCTGGTAATGAAGAAGTAAAAAGATCCAGGTACACTGTCCTTTACCGCTGGCTCTCATAAGGCAAAATTCTCCAAGTAGTTTAGAACATGTTTGAAACAGAGAATTCAGAACCTGGTTGATTGTGTTGGTCCTCCTGGCAGCAGGTTTACAAGAGCCAATAAGAGAGAAAGATAGAGAGAGAAAGACGACATCTGTGGGCTGAAGAAACTGGCGGTGTTTTTACTCCTTAAAGCCAAAGTGAGCTCACCAACTTCTCTTGACAAATATGAAACTTGACTTCTCTCACCTTCAGACGATCCGCCTGACCGTGTCTCTCCACATCTTTTTTTTTCACTTTCTTAAACCCTTTGAAATTCATGTTTAACATCTCCATCCTGCGTGTTCAGGGTGTTCAGTGTGAGTACAGTCATTTTATTCCTCACTTAATAAGTGACAGCAGTGGGAGTGCTGGACTTGATAATGGGGTGCCAAAAACAACCATGCGGCCTCAAATGTCAGCTGCACTAAATAACTCAATGTTGACGTCGGGGATGAGAGTGAGACCCACACTCCCATCAGTGAGGCTGGTGCAGGCGTGGAGGCAGTGAACGGCGTAAAGAGCCCCTACAGAGTGGGATTTCACAGCAGCAGCAGCAGCAGCGTCCTTCCCTTTTCTCTCTCTTTTTTCTAACAGCTGTCAAACGGCTGGACGGAGACTCAGCGGATCACACAGGAGGGCAGCAATCTGTTCCTCTCTGCTATCACATGCAGGTCTAATCCATTATTGCCACTGGAATGAATAACAGTGTAATCTGATCCCTAATGGAGCTGTTTTCTGGGATTACTTTGAGAAAGTTGTCTTTTGATTACAGGCAAATGGACATGAGCATAATCTTGAAAGAATTCCTGCAGATAAGAGGAATAAAACTGTGTCTGAAGAGCTGAAAGAAATCGTTTTTCTGCTTGTTTATGAGGAAAAGAAACCGGAACATCAGTGAGCGCAGAAACACGTATGAGGCTGTGAATCATGTCCGAGTCTGATCCCTGCAAATTGAACCAATCATCCTTCATTCTCAGGAGACAACGTTGTGTTCATCAACAAGTTCACTTCCTTATTATTCAAAGTATTGATCCCCTCAGGTCTATTGTTTTATTTCCACATGATCGAGTTCCTTCTTTTGCTCAATAACGTTGAATCTAGGACTTACTGTCTTTTTCATACATCTACTCAGCCATCCCATGATGCTCTGTGCTTTGACCAATTAGTGAAGTCACCGTAAAGGTCGTTGTGTGGATGTCGTATTCCACTGGTTTTTAATTAGCGGCTCGATCATGACCTTTACCCTCGAGCCTTTGATGTCAGGTGTGCAGTGGGTCATGCATGAGCCAACGAGGGTTTCAGGTGGAATGAAGAAGAAGGATAAACACAGTAAAGCCATCGATGTTAATCCTGTTACTCCCTCCACTGCTCTGCATCCCTCTCAGCATCAAGAACCTTCGCTCAAGAGGGGCAAACAGGACCGTCAGGAGTTCTGCAGCTCCAGGACCAAGTGGTGTTTCATGTAACTTGGGCCCAACATGGTCCCACTGTCAAGATCGAGCTGACTGTCTCAAAGTCTGTAGACCTTGTAGCTGACTGTTGGAAAGCAGGAATGGAAGGGTTGTGGTTGAACAGGTAGGAAAGTCTCATCACTGGGTCCAGCATGTGTGGGCTGCAAAGACAAGCCATCAAGATCACCATGAAGGTCTCAGAGAGGTCTTCTAGATTGCTCTGGCTAGAGTTGGGTGGCATGACAGTATAAACCATGTGATGGTATGAAAGTGTCTACCGGTAGAAATGTTGCTTTACCGTTTATACCGGAGAGAGAGAGCAGATGTCTGCTGCATCTCTGAGTCAGTGTGTAGTTATCTGCGCTCGCTCACAGGAAAGCCAAACGGGGGCGGTCGATTTAGTTGCGTTTTCGTATATTCATATATTCGTAGCTTCGATGAAGAAGAAACAGCTTAACTGGTGGTGGTTATGGCGGACGCGGAGATTAGCGGCAGTAGTAAAAAAAGGAAAATGAACAAATGCAACAGTTTGATTATTTTTAAGACAGTAATTGAATTTACAGGGGGAAAAACATACCGTGATAATGTTACCATGATATGAAATTACTCATACCGTGATATAAGATTTTGTTCATACCGCCCAACACTAGTCCCTCTGTAGAGATCACAGTCTGTAGACTTGGTAGCTGAAGAAGGGTTGTTGTTGAACAGACCTCGTAGGGAAAACTCACCTCTGGGTCCAGCATGTGTGCGCTGCAAAGACGAGCCATCAAGAACCTCCTGAAGGTCCCAGAGAGGTCTTCTGTAGTGCTCTGGCTAAACATGGGTGACACAAGGGAGGATATGCTACCGTCAGAAAACTGGGGCCTGATCACCCCCCACCCCCCACCCCCGGCTGTGTGAATGTGTCTGAGGATGAGACCTGAAACACCAGATGACCTGAGGTCCATCTCTTCCCATGTGTTCAGGTTTATTAATAAAAATTGATGCATTGACCACAATTATGTTTCCTAATTAATCTGCGTGCCACAGCTATTTTACATGTCAGCTTCTATCGTGTTTTTTTAAACATCTGCCACACTCAGACACATATATGTTTTCATGCCCTCAGGAAAGGCCACAGGGTTCTGGAGGGACCGGCATTAGTCATGTTCTGGACTCCATCCCATTACCACTGTAGCTTTCATGAAGCCAGAACCATGAGGTAGATCTCAGGCATGCCAGGGCTTTGGAGTTAATTAGCAGCTTAGATCTTTTGGCGGTAGTGGACATCACTCCACCTACTTGAGGCTAAGGCAACATTTTAATTGGGTCAGTAAAGGACTCGGCGGTGGCAGGGCGCCACAGAAACCGCTTTCATGTCCATCAAAGATCATACGCTGAAAATAGAGTCCATTCTTACATATTCATGTCTGCGGAGCTTCAGCAAACATCTGACACCTGCTCCAAGTCTGCTTAACAAACATATAGATCAGTGATGGTGACGATAATGTCAAATGGTTTTCTTTTAATTCAGTCATTAATCTATCGAGATTGGAGCCTGCTTGATACATATTCAAACGCTGCATTAGTATTCCCTCTGAGTCCGCGGCACACAGGCATTAAAATAGTGCCTTAACATCATAACTGCCATGGAAATTTATCAACAAGCCTTGTTGAATTAGTGATTACGTGCGTGCCGCTGCTGACAGGGCGTGTGCTCTCCTCCACCGGGCTGAAACGCCGGCGTGCCGTTCTCTGCTCATCCAGCCAGGAGGCTGAGCTGCTCTGACTGCCCACTCCTGACCCTCAAACGCTCGCTGTTGTCAGGGAAATGGATCTGCCATTTTCACCGCGCTCAGTCCTTTTTTTTTCTTTTTTTGTTAAATTGGATTAATTGGAGTAATAGGAGGTTGTCTTACCCCCCCACCATGCTTTTTATCCCTCACTAATTGCTCCCTCCCTCGCTCCCTCTCTCTCTTTCTACCTCCAGACAATATTTGTGCTCTTCCTTTCGCCTCTAAATCAAACCATCTTCTCTTTCTCTCCCCCTGCCTGTTTTCCCCTCCGTCTGTCCATTGTTTGCTCCTGAATGACTGCTCATTTAGTGGTTGAAACTGTGCTTTTCAAAAGAGGTGCTTATCTCGCTTCCTGTGTGAAAGAGCTGCTCTCATTCTGCCCTTCAGTTTATGTCACAGTATAAGATTTCACCCAGGTGTGTGTGTGTGTGAACATGGACTCGCTGAAAGAGACACAAAAACACCACATTCCAGGACACGCAGTACAGTACAAACATACAAATGGATTTATGCAAAAGAAAGACAATACACACCCGTTTGTTGATTCTCACGCTGGGATGAAACTTGTTGCCATGGTGAATGCATGGATGTGCGAATTAGTGGCATTTGCTCGACACTTGGTTACATGTTCGGAGATTCAGCTGCAGGCCGTCTCACAGCTGTGTTTCACTTCTGAGTTATTTACATGAACATTTAAATACAGAGAAGGTGAGAAGGAGCTCCTCTTCTGGACGTCAGGAGCAAGAATATGTAAATATAAGAGAGTTAATGTAACCATGAACTCGCCTTTGATATACATGAAAGGAAATGTGCTTACTTACTCGCTGAGTGAAATAATCATTAGGCGATCGCCGCCATAAATCTGTGCTAAGCTAAATGAAGCTACAGTCACAGCTTGCTAGCTTAGGTTGAAATGAAGACTTAAAGCAGCTCCAAGAATTGGAAACCCAATTATAAATACTTTATTTATCCCAACCACACAGACAGAAAAAAAATGTTTTAATTAGCTAACAAGCCTTATGTGCAAGCTTGGATAACTGCCTGCTAACGCCAACCTTCGATTTCACAGTGTGTGTCTTCATGGTTCAAACAGATAAAGGTGGATTTTACACTCGAACTCATGCAGATCTGGAGCAACAGGCCTTTTAATGGCCGTGTCTTCTAATATATTCATCTGTCATACCTCACTGTAGATCAGGGGAGGGCAATTAAGTTTTATATGGGGCCACATGAGACACCTGAACTGTGTTGGAGGGCTGAACCAACAATAACTTCCCCTTCAAATCGGGGGGTGCACATTAGAGGATGACATTTTTCGGGAATTCCCATGGGTCATGTTGTTCCCGCGGGAATCCCACGGGATGGGAGTCATTTTTTAATTAATCACATGATTGGGACGGGAAATAAAACAACGGGAGCGGGAACAACATTAATAGATGATCATTTTAAGCCTGTTCAACAACCAGATGAACAGATGCGTCCATTTTTGTAGTCATCTCTCGGTGAGAGCCAACACTCTTGACCGCGCTAGCAACATGAAAGAACTACAACAGTGGTTTGACTTCCTGTCACCACCGGAAGTGAAAAGCGACCCGGAGTGGCTGCCACTTTTACCTAAAAATTTTTATTTTAGGTAATTTACCTAAAAAAAAAAATGCAACGTTTTTTCAACATGTTTGGTTTTAATCAAACAGGAGCGGGACAGGAGTGGGAGTAATTTTGAGTGGGAGTGGGATGAGAGTGGGAGTCATTCTACGGGAGTGGGACAGGACAGGATTAATTTTTTTACTCTGGTCCGGGATTGGGATGGGACAGGATTTTTTCTCTGGGGTGGGACGGGACAGGAGTGAAAATCCGCTCCAAAAAAACAAAATACCTCCACACCACCGACGTTTTCCTAACGCCAGTGTTGTCGTTGACATTGATGTGGTCATCTGTTGAGCCTTCATGGTCATTTCTGTCGGGGGTAGCACTCATTTTCTTTGTTTCTCACCAACAGTGCTGTCGGCTTCACCTGTTAAAGTGCTATGGTTGGGTGGAGCTGCTGTCTGCTACGACACAATTTTATCGCCCAGCCCTAACTGTTGGGTAGTTGATTTTTGGGATAGTTTCTTTGACAAACAGCCAACAAGATAATTGTGCCAATAAACTCCATGGACTCAGCACAGGTAGCGCACTGCGCTGACATAACCAGAATAAAAACCAGTCATGAAAACGCCCGTCTACATACAGTAGTTTTAACCTTAGTTTGACTTTTACAAGGATAGAGCTTTATTATTAACCAGATTACTCAGCTGATCAGGTGAGGAGAGATTGTCCCTGTATGTTCAGCCATTGTTAACAAAGAGCAAAGTCCACCCTGGAGCAGTAAAGTGTTTGCATGTGCTTTACAACCTGCTGGAACGAAGCCGAACAGAGCGATAAAAGTCAAATCAGGTGGCTGAAATAACGGCACCACTATCATTCTCCGAGTTCCACCTGGCTGATTCACCTGCCATGATATCCAGGTGTATACAGGCGGGAGGGGGAGGAGGGGTTTCATGACTTACTTACTCGGGACGTGATGTGGGATATATTCATATCCTGATGGTTAAAAATGAGTTCCCCTAAATAAGAGGGTCCATAAACCCTGGACCGGATCATGTCACCCTCCCCAGCTGACCCTCCTCCTGTTATTAACACTCATTTACCCACCTTGTGTTTGATGCACTGCGGCTCTGGCTGGCCGGTGCTCTGCAGGCCGCTCCCCTCTCGTAGTCTTCTCAAGGTTCAATCCCCTGTTTTCAGGCGGCTGCAGACACGGGGTGTGAAGACTACACTGACACCTGCTGGTTATCGGCGGTACTTCATCCTCCATTCACATTAACCCATGCAGTGATCCTCACACTGGAGAGATGATAGAAGTGTTACACAGCTAAAGGCACACACACACACGCACACACACAGCAGCTGCATTCATATGGTGATTTGGCCATTAGCCTATGACTTTGGACAAATGGTGGTCCATTATTAAGGTGTGATGGGGAGGGCTAAGCCTTTAAGAGAGGCTTATAATCTCCCCTAAGACATTAAATCATGTCCTACTTTCTCTTGCATTTTTCCCCCTTTTTTCCTAAAAGCATCGTTGCCTTTCATGAATTACAAGACAGAGTGAGTCCGCAGAGGGGTGTCCTACTCTAAATACACTCTTTTTGTCCAAGCAGGCGTTTGGTAATAATCTCTGAGTTTAATTTCAGAGAATTGAAGAAGGATTGGGTTGCTTTCTCACCCACACCAGTAGGTATATTAAATTGATCGCTCAGAGACTGCATATCGCGTGTGTGTGTGTGTGTCTGTTTGATTCCCTTAACTTGTAATGTAAGTACCCAGGTAGTTCAGAGCTATCTCCCCCCCGGGGCCTCTTCATCACTAAAATGTCTTTTGCACTCCCCCATCATCTCTCCATGCACTCATTTTCTCTCTCTCTCTCACACACACACACTCTCACACACTTCCTCCCACCAGGTGAATTAAAGCGATCTGCTCTGAGGCAAAAATAGTAATATCAGCATCATGTCATCATGGGCGTTTTTAATAATATCAGCAGGATTATATTGACAGAGAGGATTAAATTGTTTTACACAGACGATTATAAATCCTCTGAAGAGCTGGTTGTGGCGTTGGAAATTGCTATTAACACTTAATGCAATCCCATCTCCCAGCTTAGTGCGTATCACCGTGTTCTCGGCGCACATTACTATAATGGTGAGTGGTTGCAGAAATCCACTATCACCACAGTTTTAATGGGATGCCACTTAATAAACCTGCTGTATCGATCCGTACACGCTGAGCCGCCGTGTGGTTTCGGTCATATGAGTGCAGGTTCAGGCTTTGAGGCTCGCTGGAGTGTATCGCTTATTAAAAGCACATCCTCGCCGCCTTATAGGCCAATAGACTTCATCCTATTGATTAGTTAAGAAGTGCAGAATCATTGGTTTTTTGGGGGGTTTGTATTGATTCCGTCTTTAACACTGCAGAATATTAATCTTCACGATCAATAGATATAGGACTTTTTCCATAAAAAGGGCAAAATCTGCATCTATTTTTAGTTAAACTCTTCTGCTGACTTGGACGAAATCTAAAGAAGATTTAGTTTTTTCACTAACAGCTTTAGGACGTTTCCTGCAGATGCAGCGATTGTGGTTTGGAGATAATAAAGTTATACAGAGAAAGTGAAAAAGGTTCATTCCTGCAGCTCGAAGTTGTCCTCAGCCACATGTGCACGTGTGACAAGAATGCAAGTTGAGGTTTAAGCAGGTGCTTTTATGAAATATTAACACAAGGTGGTGCTCTTGTTCTCCGGGAGAGCCTCGAATCAACCTGCTGCTGAGCTTCTGAGTGGAGGAGGCGTCTCTGACACTCAGGGACATGAACCTGCATGAATCTGAAACCATCTGAGGAGTTCAGTGTCGGTTTTTGGTTTGACATAGAGCCCCAAACAATCTTTCAATTACCCCTGATTTAACAAAAATAAGTTCTGTTGCAGTTCAAGGACGTGTTTTGATGGAAATAATCAGGTAAAAATAAATTAATCTGACCTCTTTGACCACATGAAAAATGATTGATTGATTTTTTTTTCCAGTGAGAAGTCAGATGATACCCTGACCTCTAATGTGGAAAAGTTTTACAACATACAGACGATGTGAGTCAGAGCAAAGAGACCAGATAATATTAAGATAATATTAAAGCTGTAGTGCCAGATGAAATCGAGAGTGCTCGGTTGTGATTGAAAAGCTTTAGTGGTTCTGTTTGTGATCTATACACATTTATTTTAATGACAGCTTTTGTTACTGATTGAAGTGTAGGGATGGGAATTGATACGATTTAATCAATATCTATGTATGCCACCTTTAGTGAGAGTCTAAAAATGACTAAACGACAAACTATCTTTACAACATTTACTAAGTCGGTATTAAGTTGAAAAGAGGACACGGCTACGGTTGAGTGTTTTTTACGCGCTTCTAACTCGGTTATTCCACGCTACACAAACTCAAAACTTCCATGCAAGACTCGTTGTTGTCTTTCTTAGTAAAATGACGCCACGCTTTAGATCGTTTCTGCCTACTTTCCGTACCATCCGCCATGTTTTTTCCCCTCAAAGTCTCTGTTCAGAAGAAAGGAATCGTTAAGGGAATCATTAAAATGAAATGTAAATGATGTCGATGGATTGAACCACTCGATTCCCATCTCTATTGAAGTGTTCAACATGAGAGGAGTGAGTCCAAAGTGAGCGGATCCTATAATGGTATCTGATGCTGATATTATACGAGGAGAAGAAATGAAGTTTTTGCAGAGACAAACATTTGGAAGCGACTGAATTTAAAACTTAAAACACAAACTGAGCTCTCTGTCCTCCTCCTCCTCCTCCTCTGTGTATATTTGTCTCCTGATAATGTCAGGTACGTCTGTGTAGTTTTCTAACAGCAGGAGGTGATGTGCTGTACAGAGTTTCCCCTGCGTCCTTGACCCAGTCAGGAGGAGACCCAGAATACACTCAGAGTTCAGGAACCTGCAGGGAGGAGTCCTGTTAGGTGTGTACTTTGTGAGAGTGTGTTGTTGTGTGTGTGAAGTAAACAGACACTCCCCGCTCGCCTCCTCTCTTCCTCCTCCTCCTCCTCCTCCTCTCTGTGGCCCTCTGTGGTCTCCTGGCCGTCCCCGAGTCATTTCAATCTAAATGCAAATTTCATCAACCTTCCCACTAAAAAGACTGATATTAGTATCAAAGCCGATGTGTTACAGCTGTGTGTCGCGTGGACGTGTCACTCTCAATAGCGTCTCCGTTGTGGAAACCTGCCAATCTCACTCCACCTCTGAGGATGGACCTCAGCTCTCTCTCTCTCGCTCTCTCGCTCTCTTTTTTCCCTCTTCTTCTCTTATCCACTGTCCTCTCTCTCTCTCTCTCTCTCTCTCTCTCTCTCTCTCTCTGGCTAACATCTTCCTTTTCAGACCCTGTTGATCCCCCCCTATTTTCTCCTTAACTCTGCCCTCCCTCACCCCCCCACATTTGGCCCGGTCTAACCTCTACTGGAGAAGCCCTCCAAATAGAACCTCATTAGTCCTCCATATGTTGTGTTCTGCCTCCCTGAGCCCTCCTGCCCCAGCTCTGCTCCGCACTAAAGCAGCTCCCTGGGACTCTGCACATGCTAGCAGACCGACGAGGAAACACAGCAGAAAGTCAGCTTATCTCTGCACACACACACACACACACACACACACACACACTCTGCGGACGGTGAAAACATCCATCCTCCATTTTCCTCTCCTCACTCTCTCTCTCTTTCTCTTTGCTTGCAGTCAGGTGAACTGAGGTGGAGGGTGGAGGTGCAGGATGGAGGGATGGGTGGAGAGTGAGGATGAGGATAGACACACACTCACACACACACACACAGAGCAGCAGGGTGATGGGGATAGGCTGAAAGAGAAGGAAGAGCAGAGCACCCCGGGGAGGCTGCGCTCCAGGGGTTGTTAACATGCAGGTTGCATATTTCTGAATTGCAGAGCAGCCTTATCTCGCTGTGCTGGGTCACTGAAGCACTCCCTCTCTCTCCCTCTCTCCCTCTCTCTCTCCCTCCCTCTGTATGTGTGTGTGTGTGCGTGCACTATTTGTGTATGCTTTGACCCCCTTTGCATGTGTGTCTGCATTTTGGAGAGTGTGCATGTGAACACGTGAGTAAATATGTGCATCTGTAAATGCAAGAGTGCTGGCAACATCAGGAAACGTGAAGCTCAGATGGGGAGGGATTTCTCTCCCTCTCTCTCTCTCTCTCTCTCTCTCTCTCTCTCTACCCCTATGTCTCTCGCTCTCTCTCTCTTTTTTCTCGCACTGCAGCAAGAAACACTCATCAAACTGCAACACGCATCTCACAGAAGCCCTCAGATGCAGCAGCAGCAGCGGCGGCGGCAGCAGCAGTGGAAGCAGAGAGCAGGCCTCCTGTTTACACACACACAGACATGACACAGCGACAGCCAGCAGCTTAACACTCTGCTCCCTCCCCAGCTGGCTCTGCTCTCAGGTGGGCCGCTGAGGTCTGCCAGATAAAAGCTCACACCGCTCGGTGTTAGGTGTCTCCACCGCCACCTCCCCTCCCTTTAGTTCCCGGTCTAAGTTAAGGATTCTAGCCGTTGAGTGTCCTTGTGGGGTCAGGCTCCGCTTGAGGCTGCGTTGCATGCTGGGTCCATACATCTCAAGCATGCTCTGTGCACTAAATGAGCCTCCGCCCTCTTTAACAACTCTGTCACGATCCCCTCCATTTGTCACAGCGTGGCAGCAACACTATTGTCATCCACGCCGCTGTCGTCATTATCCAATAACGCAGAGTCGTGCGGAGGTCAGAGTTTAGAGCGGCGGTTGTATGTGAAAGGGGGATCACATAATTGTTCCGTGGAGATGGTGCGACTGCTGCTGAATGTGGAATTAGTTCTGTTTCTGTCTTGACCTTAGTGGAGTAGTGGTGCAAAATAGAGAGGCAGTGTTGGGGGGAATAATGCAGATGATGGAGAGTTCATCAGCAGGGATTGGGAGACCCTAACGGTTAAGTATCAGTCGTTTCTGCACACCTGAGCAGGTAAAGATATCTGGAATAACAGAAACATAAAAGAAAATGACTGTCTACTGTGTTTTTGTTTTTGTTTGTTTTTAATGTAATACCTTCTCTTTGAATCTGGCCTGAATTTTACAAAATGGAACTTACCACTTGTAGTCGTGTTGTCCTTGTAGTGTCATTTCTTCAACCTGGAGTTGTAAATACCAAGTTGAGACATAGAACATAAACGCTCACTTCTCCATCCCCTTTCCAATCTGTCCTACATGAGTTTGGTTCTACTTAAGGTTTCTTCTTGTAACCTGCAAAGTGCTCTGAAATATAAACCAGACTTTTGCTAAGTTTTGTTCCTGGCACCCCATCATTTAATATATTTTCTTAACACCACTGTATTTATTTTGTGCACTTCTGTATATTTAGACTTAGATCCTGACAACCCCACCTTTAAGAACCTGAGTTAGTTCCAGTTTTTAGGAGAAATCTTGAATGTAAACTCTACCCCTCCCAACCAGTTTTCCCCTCAGCTCCTCCTCTCCCCTCAAGCCCCGCCCACAAACAGACGCTCCTGCTCGCTCGTATCGTTCCAATTAAATTCAGATATAATGCAGATAAATACTTCAGATCATTACAAATGGGGCCCAGTCAAGGTGAAAGTCAAAAGCATTGGTGCTACTGTAGATGCCAACAGACTACCAGCAAACACAATGTTTGCAGGACTTCTACAACAAGGATAAAGTGACATAGTCAAGGACCCGAGGGAGGACAGTTTAGCGATGGCGCTACAACACGCTACAGCAGGTCCGTTTGACAAGAAACACTTCTGTTACAGACACTTGTCTTACTTTGTTAAAGCGGTTTACCTGTCCAGCAGAAAGGTTACAGGGTCACCAAGATCCCCAAGCGTCCCCCATGGTTTATGTTGACCCGGCTTTTTAGCTCTTGTCCGGTCTACCTCCGTTTTAAGCGCCCGTTATTCCTCCAGAGTCTCCGGTATTTACTTCATTTTCTTGCTTGTGTCGGCAGTCGTGGCCAAAGGAGGATTCAGACAATTTTCCGAACTTTCTGGTTGGTTTCTACTGTCCGATATTGCAGCACGCTAACTTTGTTTGGGCTCCTGAACGACACGGGGGAGCAGCGTCTGCCTCACAACCAATCAGGTTAGAGGAGGTGGAGAACGGCTTTGTTTACAGTCAGAAAGAGCGGACCGCTCAAAAATGTTCAAATGTTGACGACACAGACATAAGAGAACACAGAGATATCGATATATTACCAAATGTCATCAATAACTAATAACTATTGACTGATAAAAGATTTTTTGTAAATACACCACAAAAAAAGATGCTTCTTTAACAGATTCCTGTCTACTCCACCTTTACGTCTAAATTTAAGGACCCGTAGCGTCTGATCGACCTAACACACTCAGAGAAAAGGCCTGTGTTTTTCTGACGCTGTTTGTTTCTGTCAGACTGTGTCTGTGTTTGCACTCCTGCATGTTTGTCCACATGTGTTTGCGCATCTGTCCGAGTTATGCAGATTGAGTGTGAAAGTGTGTGTCACAGTGTTTGATGGATCTGTGTGAAGAGACGGGATCAGAAGGGAGCGCTGTGACCCGTCCCCGGGGTTCGTCTTCATGACTGAGTGGACTTTTTCAGATTCAGGTTCAAACCCACAAACATCCCTCTAGTCTCCCATGTAGCTGAAGATGGACTTGAGTACGTACTTGTTCAGAGTCTGACATGTCTGTTCATGGTCGAGCTACAACATGTGCGTCCCTGTGGTCCTTGTGGAGCACTCTAGCTAATGCAAAGCTCTTTGCTCCTGCAGCTGGATCCATTTTTGATCTCTGACTCCTGCAGACGCAAACACATTACAGCGGTATGTATTCGCCACATCCAGGCCGGTATTTGTGTGTGTTTCTCCTCAGAGGAGTCCTTTTCAGCTGCTGATGTGGCTTAGCTTAAATCCCTCGGCCCTGTGACGACACACCAACGCAAACGGAGTCAGACAGAGAGAGAGAGAGAGAGAGAGAGAGAGAGAGAGAGGGGTTCAGGGTTTAGACAGCGAGGGATGAAGCGGAGCTGCTAATTATTCCTGCTGCTCCTTCTTCATCGTCAAATGGAAACAGCTTTATCTTCAAATCACTGACCTGAACTCATCAGAAGTGTGTTTCTAACAGTATCAGTGTCTTCTTGGTTGTCTGGATCTGAGCGAACATCTGGATTAAGATTTTTAAGACTCAGTGATATAAAGATGACATTTGTGAAACCTTGTTCTCAGTATATCAGTCTGATCCTGATGTAAAATTCTTCTTCGTCTGGTTTTCCTTTTTTTCCTCGCTGTACTTTGACTGACGTGTTTCTATTGGTTGCGTGCCTTCCCTTTTCTTCTGCATGGCTAGCTTATTTTTTCGACTGGCCCGGGTGTGAGTCAGGCCTCCTGCGGTGATATGGGAGACCGTGAGTGGAGAGGGAGGAAGGGTGACGGCTGAGGGTCCGCGTGGGGACAGGAAGCGAGGAGCCGGGTGAGGAACGGACCCTGAGGCTCCTCCTGCGATTGAGAGCAGAGGATTGGTGGTGGAGGCACCTAGGCCAGGGAGGAGGAGATGAGGGGGCTGAATCAGAGACTGACAGGCTGGCTGGCTGATTGACAAGCTAACAGGCAGAGCGAGGAGAGCGTGGGTTCACAGCTCCACGACACCGCCAGCAGGCATCCATGCGGCTCTGAGGTCCACTAAAAGCAGGGATGAGTAATAAGTCATGTAGCTCTGCCCCTTCCCCCGTCTCACACCTTCGCTGACGGGGGGGAGGAAAAGAGAGGAAAAGGGAAGAGAGAGGGAGGAGTCATGAGGAGGAAGAGTTCCCTCCAATTTCCACCTTCATCCGGCTACGAAAAGGTCGTATCCGCCGATCACAGCTGATCGTAACCATTCAAGTTAACGTGTCAATTTCCACCGACTTCTTTCCGTTCCTCTGCGGATCGTCGGACTCCTCAGCTGATCAAGAGTTCTATTTTTTCTGGAGCATGCCGGATAAATTTAGCGCAGATTAACCCGTGCTGGAAAGGAAGTCGGGCACAGACACAAAATAAAACATCCGGCCTCTTTTCAAAATAAAACACACACGCAAACGGGCGGAGACGAACAAGTGAAAGGTTTTTAGACGCCATTTCACCCCGATGACATCATGGATGAGGAGATGCTGATTCTAGAAGATTTCAGTGTTCAAGCACATGCATGGACTTCATCTTCATCTTCAATCATCTACAGTCTCTGACTTGTATGTAAATACTCGTATCCTTGTGCGCCTCCTTGTGTTGTGTTCACCTGCAGGAGGACATCTGCTTCAGTCTGGCTTTACCACTGATCCCAGGCTGCTGCTGACTTTGCTCTCAGGCCCCGTCAGGCCCAACTTCACCCTCTCTCTCTCTCTCTCTCTCTCTCTCTCTCTCTCTCTCTCTCTCTCTCTCTCTCTCTCTCTCTCTCTCCTCTTTTCCCCTCTTCTAGCTCAGCCACAGAGCTGACAGCTTGGCCCCAACAGCTCGCTAACCACATTACCTGAACTCACCACAGTCATTATCCTGCACAGGACTCACTGGAGCCTGAAAGTCATTCCAACTTCTCTGCTGGTCGAGGTTAATAGGTGTGTGGACGTGAGATTACATCCCGAAAGGCTAGACGTGGTGTCGGGCAAATCCCAAAATTCAATTCTTCCCCAGGAACAGCTTGGAAGTCCAGGTACCAGAGGGGGGTTTTTCTGTTTCAATGCAGCTCACGCTTCTCCACTTACACGTCAGATTTGATGACAAGAGACAGCCTCAAGTTTCTGGAAGGTTTCTGTGCATCTGAAGGCGTAAACATCGTCCCACGAGGACGCAGTGTAGTATGGATGAGATGTTGTCCTTGAATGGCTCTTCAACACTGAATCCTGGTGCAACATGAAGCCAAACTTTATCAATAAAAAAAAAAGGGTTTTGCTGCCAGAATTATACGTTTCATAGTTTAAAGGTGGGGTAGGCAGGATTTCGTTAAAGAAGCATTTTTTTTTGTGGTTTATAAACAAAACAAGATGTGTTCTCTTATGTCTGTGTAGTCAACATTTGAACATCTTTGAGCGGTCCGCTCTTTCTGACTGTAAACAAAGCCGTTCTCCACCTCCTCTAACCTGATTGGTTGTGAGGCAGACGCTGCTCCCCCGTGTCGTTCAGGAGCCCAAACAAAGTTAGCGTGCTACAATATCGGACAGTAGAAACCAACCAGAAAGTTCGGAAAATTGTCTGAATCCTCCTTTGGCCACGACTGCCGACACAAGCAAGAAAACAAAGTAAATACCGGAGACTCTGGAGGGATAACGGGCGCTTAAAACGGAGGTAGACCGGACAAGAGCTAAAAAGCCGGGTCAACATAAACCATGGGGGACGCTTGGGGATCTTGGTGACCCTGTAACCTTTCTGCTGGACAGGTAAACCGCTTTAACAAAGTAAGACAAGTGTCTGTAACAGAAGTGTTTCTTGTCAAACGGACCTGCTGTAGCGTGTTGTAGCGCCATCGCTAAACTGTCCTCCCTCGGGTCCTGGACTATGTCACTTTATCCTCGTTGTAGAAGTCCTGCAAACATTGTGTTTGCTGGTAGTCTGTTGGCATCTACAGTAGCACCAATGCTTTTGACTTTCACCTTGACTGGGCCCCATTTGTAATGATCTGAAGTATTTATCTGCATTATATCTGAATTTGATTGGAACGATACGAGCGAGCAGGAGCGTCTGTTTGTGGGTGGGGCTTGAGGGGAGAGGAGGAGCTGAGGGGAAAACTGGTTGGGAGGGGTAGAGTTTACATTTAAGATTTCTCCTAAAAACCGGAACTAACTCAGATCCTGCCTATATATTGACATCGAAGGCCATGTATGGATGGATTTGGAATATACTGTCCAACATTAAATTATAAATTATAAACCTCACACTCATTTCCCTCTCGTTATGTGATCCCATGGATCAAAATAAAATCCTCTTCTTCTGCACAAACTACAGAAACTCTCTCTGTACATTAGCTGTAGGGCTGCCCTACATAAAGTTTCCTTCCATGCGCTCGCCCGTTTCCCTCAGATTGCACGTAGTCGCCGAGTGAGATCTGTTGAGAACGCGGCGCAGACATGATCTGCAGAGGTGGCGACGCAGCAGCTACAGAGAGTACGGTGGCTTACACAAACATTACATCAGACGTGTCAGAGAGGCAGAGACGGGTTACCTTTACCGTATCCCGGGGAAAAGGAAGGCCCCAACAGAGAGACTTCCTGAACGCTTATCTTCAACTAACGACTGAAAACTGAAGGAAGAGTTCGTCTGCAGACTCATGAAGATGTTTGATGGATTTAAAGGTGGAAGGAGATATTTTTGGACATTCATAATCATCCTAACTTCCCAAAGTGGAAACTGGCTGATAAACGCCGGCAGCAGGAGTAGGTTGTTGCTGAGCCCATTAACAAGAGGGGATTTTTGTTTTTTTCTTTTTTTGCTTTTAGGGCAGAAAATCTCGATGGTTAACTCCTCTGCATTAGGAGCCAATTACAAGGCTGGAAAAAATGACCCGGGGTAGTTTGGTGTCCAAGGTTGTTTGTGCTGACATTCTGCTTTTTCAAATGCCAGTCTGTTAATTATGCAAATGGACTACAAGCCCCCCCCTCCTGTATAAACATACACACAGCAGGCCTCTTCATATGCACACAGTCCCATAGATTCTGTGAGTTATTAGGAGACAGCCAGCTCTTGTTTTAATGTACCAAAACAAGAAAACGGAGATATGATATGACCCCTCCGGCTGCAGCTTCTCCTCTCTCCGACTCTCAGGCCTTCACTCTCTTCCTCCTCCTCCTCCTCCTCCTCCTCCCCTGTCCTCTTTTTTTTCCTTGTGGTGCAGCTCTTTGCGCAGCGATGCTATGCGACACTGGCCAGCTTAAGAGGAAGGCGAGTCCACATTGCATTACTTCTGAGCGGGAGAGAAATCCAGTATCAGATGTAATGGGTTTGATTCCAAAACCCCCGGGCTGTGTTCTGCGCCGCTGTAATGGTGGTGGGAGTCGGCAGAGATCCCGCACTCATCAGAAGGCTGCCTCTCACACACACACACACGCACACACACACACACACACACACACGCACACACACACACACTATTCCTTCCTTCTCATGTCTGCTCCTTCTTTTACTCTCTTCTTGTCTTCTCTCGCTGGACTCAAATGACCAGAGGTGTCCCCCACCCCCAACTCTTCCAGAGCGTCCTCGCCACGTTGTTGCCTAATTACTGTCTCCAAACAAGAGGGAACGACGACTTTGTCCGTGGCACTTTCGATTAGAGACTCTGATACCCATTGTGTTTCTTCTTCTTCTCTGACTTTCTCACTTCAGCTGAGGCCAGATTTAGTCAGGTATTCAGCAGAAAGGCATCATGGGATAGTGTCGAATTAAGCTCCAGGGTAACTTTCTTGTTGTTGTTTTTTTTTTCTCCCCTCTTTTTAATTAAAGAGCAGCCTACCGTCATGAACGAGGCACCTCTCCAAGACAACACACGATCGGTTAGAGGAGTAAGAGGGCGAATGTTTACCATCAGAGGGAAGATAAGAAGAAACAAAAAACGAAGCTGCTGTCTGCTGATCAAACACGCAACTCAAGTGCAAGTTAGTTTAACCCTTCTGAGGTTACTCCTAATTTCCACCGCATCCGGAACGGCAACGAAAAAGCCGTATCTGCCGATCGCAGCTGATCACAACCATTCAAGTTAACATGTCAACTTCCACCGACTTTTTTCCATCAGACTCCACAGCTGATCACAAGAGTTCTATTTTTTCTGGACGCCGGAGCATGGCGGATAAATTCAGCACAGATTAACCCGTGCTGGAAAGGAAGTCGGGCACAGACACAAAATAAGACATTGTGTAAAACTCCGTGTTTCAGGAGGATCAAATTTCACACCATGCAAACGGGCGGAGACGAACAAGTGAAAGGTTTTTAGACGTCATTTCACCCCGATGACACCATGGATGAGGAGATGCTGATTCTAGAAGTCTAGAAGTAGATTTCCTCCTCTGGAAGGACACAATCTACTGCTTATATGTCTATGTGTCTGTCTTTATAGAGACAACTCATTGTTGCGCGATTGCACGTTCTTGTGCGCGTTCTTGCGATTCTGCCAAGGGCACAATCTGCCACGAAATTCGCCTCACAAACTGATCTGGTAGAAATTGGCAGACGGCAAAAATCGCCGCCGTTCCGTATCAGAGATGTTTTGGATGTGTTGGAAATAAGTGTTTCTTTGTCGAGCTCTGCGTGTTTTACCATCCCTGTACGAGCGTCCAAAGACATCAAAGGAAAGTTAAGATGCTATTTTGATTGATTATGATAAGTACGATCTTCCATTTGTCAAGTTTGTTCCTTAAAAAATGTTGATCTTTCAATTTCTTTTACGCACAACAACCACATTTTTTAATTTAGTTCCCCTTATTATTTTTTACTTCCTGAATGCTTTTACTACAAATACTTTCCCCCCTCAACAAATACAAATAAAAATACAAATACCGGCTGCTTCGCACACCTCTAATAAATACAAAGCTTTTTTTAAAATCTGAAAATCATGTAAAGCTGTTAAAGAAAGTAAAAGAGTTTTCTATATTTCTATATTATTTTAGGTACAAATATTACATTCCACCATGTATGTTCAGATTAATTCTGCTATAACTGTTATTGGTACTTTTTAAAAACTTGTCCTAAAAGATCAATATTCATTCAAAGACAGTTGAGCTCAGTTATTAATTTGATCTCTGACAAGAACAAAAATCACCAATTTTATGAGTCGATGCCCAGGAAGTTCAGAAGAATCAAACTTAATAACCTAATTTAAAAAAAAGGTACGACATGAATGACCTTATTAATTAAAACTACATCCTGATTATCTTTGTAGATGTCCAAAGAAAACACAGGTGTGGTCCTCAGGTGTGATGATCTCAGCCTCATGTAAACACTCAGACGGTTGTTCAGGACTGCTGTGGAGTCGGGCTCCTGTCTGCTCAGAGTTTGGGTGAGATTCTGCCTTCTGCCACATGTCTCAGCAGCTGTAATATGGGCCTTAAACGCCTCTAATGTTGCATAACACAAACACCCAGAGAAAGCTGGCTGCCCCCCCCCCCCCCCCCCCCCTTACATCTGGAGCCTTTGGGGAAAACAGAGGGGTTTCCTGGGCCTGCAACAAGGATGTGGAAGCGGAGGTTTACAGCTCCCTGCGTCGTCTGCCGGGGCTCCCCTTATTATTGTGATGGATGGGATGAGAGGAGAGGAGAGCGATGGCCCCTCACCTCCTCATCACCTATCCAAGAAGCGAGCAGCTCGACCGACGGTAGGGTAATTACGGCGTCATTATAAAGCGCACTTGTGCACAAGCATACGCGCTCTCACACTACATAAACACAGTCCCCTACGTGCCAGATGGGGTCCTCAATTTCCCAAGCCAATGCCCCCCACTTCCAGTCCTCCTCCCTCATCTGAACATCTTAGCTCTTCTATCTTTTCTCCTCCTCTCTGGTCCGACGAGGGAATTCCAGCCTTGCAGGAAAGCTCGCCAGCTCTGGACCATGCAGTACGTCCATGTGTGCAGGCTTAAGCGTCTGTTTGTATTGTATGAACAAGTGTTGTCTGTGCACGGATCTGCACAGGCTCTCATGCATACCAAACAGTTGTGTGCGTGCTGGTTGTACATACTAACAGGGCCCGTTTAGTACTGAGCCCCTCCATCACTGACAGGCTGACAGATGTGCAGGCGACATGTTGTGTTGCCATGCTGCAGGGAACGAAATCTCTCCAAGTGTAACGGACCTGAATGTTGTTTCTTTAAACAGATATGGTCGGGGCCAGGTCCAGGTGGGTGTTTGAGGGTGGTACTGTCATGTACTTAAAACCCTGGAGCCTCCAGACACCAGATCCTAAACTATGATGAGCTTATTCGCTGATGCTCTAATAATCAAGGCACATCCTAAACTTTGTATGAGGAGCCGCTACCTTTGACTCAACGTTTAAGACGCTGTCATGCCAAAGAGGAATGAGCAAACCATAAGCATAGGGCTGGGCGATATGGCCTCAAATCAATATCATGATATATTGATCAGTTCACCTCGATAACGATAAATAGACGATAACTACTCCACAAGCTGCTCACCCCCTCCCACATTAACTTCGTCTACTTCAGCCGCTCCAAATTTTGAACCGTCCTCCATCTCCTCACCTGTCTTTCCCTCTTTGTTACGGACTGGATGGGGTGGAGTCACGTCTCTGACGTAGGACAGTGTCTTAAAGGGACATGAGACCATAGCCTACCTACACACATCCAAAAACAACTTTGATTATTTATTTATTTCACACCGAATATACCAATATGGGCGAAATAACGTTGGTTGTTGACGTAAATTTCGGTATCTGTAAATTTTCGCTTTATCGCCCAGCCCAGTCAAGTCCCCTCCATCTAGTATCTGTATAACCTTACAGATACTACTACAGATTCTAGATACTCTACTAAATTCACTTTTCAGAAAGCAAACTGTTTATCTTACTGCTAGCTGGAGCACTTCTGTTTATGCAATAATGTTTTTACATGTTTAAGGCCCCGATTATACCCTTCGTTTGGACGCAAACGGAGAATTCGACCCTGAGAACGATACTTTTTAAAAACTGGAGATAAAAAGTGAAGATTTTGGAAAACTCTGTTAACACGTAAGCGGAGAAAATCTGAGGTAAATGGAGATTTGGTAGCTGACGGCAGATTGTGCGTGGGAGAGAAGGAAGGGATGTTGTTTTTGTTGTTCCTTTGCTGGATCCTGATTGGCTAACGCGGGCTTGAGCTTCTCGCAACACTGCCACCTACAGGTTTGGCATGCTCTTGACATGGGTTAGAGTAAACTAAAACATAGTGGTGTGCACAGTTTTTTTTTGTAAACAGAGAGGGTGAAATGTCCGTTTATAAAAATAGCTGAGCAGGTGTAAACGTAGTCGAAGTCTTTATCCATGTACTGTATCTAAGCGTACTTATCAGGCTAATATTAGAGGTTTATATGTTATTGGTAAAAATTCTAAAATGAGTGTGAAGACCACATCATACAGGCGAGGTGGGGAAACACCTGCTAAGTAACAGCCATTCTGTAAACTTCACGTTATTCCAAGTTTTCTGGTTGTTGGTGAAATCTTTAGTCATCTACCTCCAAATATTGGTGTAAAATAAGGTGTAATGAAGTGAAATCGTCTCATCCCACTGGTTTCAATGAGATATGCATGAAAGCATGACTAATTCTGAAACGGTGCTGCCTGTGATGTACAGAAGGTCATAGATGTGTTGGTACTGCAGGAGAATTAGATCCACTGAGTGATAAGACACGATAAAAGCCTTGAAGGTGTATGTACTGTTCCGTGCTTACACATGTCTTTTGTTAATTGTAACCTAATGGTACCTGGTTACTGTATTTACTGTTAAAAGTGTGCCTCGTTTTTTGTTCGGGACCCTGGATAAAGACCTGGCATCAGTACGAAGGCGAACCAGTCAACCTGGAAGAGTTGCCCCATTTCTTGCCACGGTTCCTGTGCTCTGGTACGTGTGTGTGTGTTAATGAATTATGCATATTGATAGATTCCCAACAGGAGCTGGAGGATGGGCATTTTTTCTTCCATGAGAATAAACAAGAGGAATTATACACCATGGAAGCGTGCAGCCGGGCTATGAATAGAAGCAGCGAGGTTGTTTTCGCCCCGGGATGCGGTTGCATTTTTACAGGTCGGACTGTGATCTACTCTTCAGCCTCTGCACTGGGATGGAGCTGACACATCCCCGGGTGCCGGGAGCCCCTTTAATCCCCCAAAAGCAGAGGTGCATCTCATGGAGGTGTGGGAAGGGAACTCTCATAAGACCCCCCCAAGAGGGCTCATTATATTTAGCCGACATGCTGTAGATCAGGGTGGCAAATTCAGGGAATTTTCAAAGTTGGGAACTTTCCATGGGAATTAACGGGAATAAATCTGAAATTTACAAATTTGAAGGTCGGCCCTCAACAGGGAACTTAAATATAGTTGGTGAAAATATATTGTAGAGTAATCTTGACTAAAACAACCAGATATAAAGGTGGGGTAGGCAGGATTTCGTTAAAGAAGCATCTTTTTCTGTGTATTTACAAAAAATCTTTAAATATCAGTCAATAGTTATTAGTTATTGATGACATTTGGTAATATATCGATATCTC